GGTCGCGGGTGGGTCGCAGGTGGGTCGCTATTGGGTCGCGGGTGTAGAGGGCGGAAAATCCACCCCATAATAATTGCCTCGACAAACGAAGCCGTTTAGTAAACGCACACAAGGAATTCATCGAACAGGGTAGGGCTGTTTAGTAAAAACGCCCAGGGCCGCTTCGTAAACGTCAATTGTCGGGCCGGGTGGTTTCTCCTCCCTTGAGGGTGGGTCGCGGGGTGGGTCGCGGGTGGGTCGCGGGGTGGGTCGGTAGGGTCGCGGATGGGTCGCGGGTGCGTCGCGGGGGTGGTCGCGGGGGGTCGCGGGGTGGTCGCGGGGTGGGTCGCGTCGGGGGTGGGTCGCGGGTGGTTCGCGGGTAGGGTCGCGGGTGGGTCGCAGGGTAGGTCGCGGTGTGGGTCGCGGGGTGGGCTGCGGGGCGGGTCGCGGGGTGGGTCGCGGGTGGGTCGCGGGGTGGGTCGCGGGTGGGTCGCGGATGGGTCGCGGATGGTCGCGGGGTGGGTCGCGGGTGGCTCGCGGGGTGGGTCGTGGGGTGGGTCGCGGGGTGGGTCGCGGGTGGGTTGCGGGGTGGGTCGCGAGGGTCGCGGGGCGGGTCGCGGGGTGGGTCGCGGGTGGGTCGCGGGTGGGACAACAACAGCAACAATAGAAAATTAGCAACGCAACACGCATAATTCTCACCGCAAACTTCCTATTCAGCCACGCACTCAGGGACAATGAATGACCGTTCGCCCCCCTCACTCTGACTTATGACAAGTTGCCGCGCGACCTCCTGATTCGCTTCGTTCATGCCCGCGGAATCCTGCAACGTAGGTGCTCAGGGCCACAATGCTTCCGGGTTCCCCCGAATGCGCGCGTCCAACAGTGAGCCTGCCCGGCACCGTTGTAGGCAATGCCGCGAAAGGCGTGGAAGTAATAGGAATGGACGTTCTCGACAAGACAGCCGCTCCACCTGGCGTGCCCAGCCCTAAAGCAGACGGGGCAGCAGGCGACCGCGCTCCATCATGTCCATGGCCGCGAACCTGACGCTACAACGTGCCAAGATCGGCGCCGCGTCTGTGATGCTCCTGCATAGATGCAACAGTCGCACCTTTATCAAAGGACTCCAAGCTTGGCTCGATTCAGCCCCAGGAGGTGACATTGACAAATCCTTTGGATTTAGTCATGGGGGCGAACGAATTCAGAACAGAGCAGCATCCACCGCAGGAGTTAAATCAGGTCTTCAGTGCCGCGCCGCGGATGGTGGCCCCCTTTTGCCAGCAGCCTAGCCTCCTTGTGAGTGTCGCCCTCCGAGCCTTCAGCAGGAAGTAGAGACCCGAAGGATTCGCGCAATTGAGCAATATGCTCGCCGTCCGGTTGCCATGCTTCAGGGGCCATTGCGCAGCTCTCTGTTTGAGGCGGGGGCGAAGCGGAAATGGCCAGGGTAGCAGGAGCACTCGCGTCGGGATGCATAGGGACCATGGGAGACGATGCCAAATCCAACTCACGCTTCGCTTCAACGATCGGCTCGCGCCAAGCACCGCCGATGCCCTTCGACAACTAGGCCTTCGCCGCCGCCGACATATCACCACCATCCGCCGCTTTGGATACCAGCTCGCCGAGCCTATCCCCAGAGAGGCCGCGGACCGCCGCGAGCGCGTCATCATACTTGGGGATCAGGCGCCCGCGGCATTGAACTCTCAAGCTTTCCCTACTGTGTCTTCACATCCAGAAGTAACTTTTGCGCTTCGCCATGCTGCGCCTTGGCTTCCTTCGAGACCTTCTGAGCAGCGCGTGCCTATTCTTCTGCCTGAGAACCGCGTGCAAGTAGTTTTTCGCCTTGAGCTTCTGCGCCCGAACTTTGTTTGCAAGAGCATGCGGTTGTGCGTGTGGCGGCTTGGCCACATGCGCGTCCGCGCGAAGCCGTTCAAGACTCGCCGGCATTACCTGGTTCCGAGCAATTGCCCGTTCACTCGTAAGAAGCTAGAGCGGCTAGAACGCACCCAGGTCAGCCTATCTCCTCTATAGATTTCATATCCTCCAGCTTTGGCTTTCGCCCGATAACATTGTCAGCGCCGGGTTGAGTGTCCGTGGCGCCAGCAGCACCGTCCATCTCCATGGCAGTCGGCTGCATTTTGGAAGTATCCGCAGTGCCAGACTTGGCGCGACGCAACTTCACGATCTGTCTCCGCAGCTGCTGAATGAGCTTCGTGTAACTAGTGTTTAGAAGATCCACCAGGAACACGCGCAGAATCTGCGCCGGCTCCACTCTTCGACTCGCGTGGGCCCCCCCCCCCCCGCAGAGAAGGCGACGACGACGCTGCGTTTGCCTTGATGACATCATCCTTGGCCATGCGGCGGGCACATCACTTGAGATTGGAACCCAATTCGATGGGCGGCTTGCCCGACCTGGGGTGAACACAATCTTTGCAGTGCCAATCCTTACGCTCCTTGTCTCTTCCACCACCGCCCATGGCGCCCTCCGCTCAACCGTAGAACCCTCCAGCAGCGGAGGGAAGGTCAAGAGGGGCAGGCGCGCGCAGGGGACAAGTGGAGCGAGGCAAACCAGAGCTCCCCGCCATGACCTGCCCGTGCCCGTTGTAGCTGCTGAAGTTGGGCCCGCCGACGCAGGCCGCTCTGAATAACTGCGTCGGCAAGGTCGGCAAGCTCAGGCTGAACCCTGAGCCATAACCTCTGAGAAGGAGGAGGAGGATGAGAAGGATGAAGAGGAGGAGGAGGAGCAGGAGGAGGAGGACCAATGTAAACCCAGGAGTCATCAACGATGTTGGAATAATCCCTCCCTCCAAGCCCCCTTGTCATAAGCCCCCGCAACGGTTCATGTCCACAGAGGGAACTGCCTCGTTGGAAAACAAGCGTTTGAAAACCCTGATACATGCGCAAACATTGTTGCCAGGATTCCAACGCCACGGTTCAATCTGTCTGTTGCGTCTTGGCGATCCTGAGGCTTCAGCACCGCGAACCGACGCAACTGTTGCATCCTGAAGCCTTCGTGCGCTGATCATGGGAATCCCTGAAACCCTTGCAACTTTGAAGAACGCATGTGCGCGGCTTTTAGGCAAGAACCACATTTTGAAAAGGAGCCGCCTTCAATCAATACAAATCTTGCAAACCTTTAAAACGACTGTGCTTGGCGCTAAAGCGCGAGCCGCATCTTGAAATGGATCCGCCCTTCATCCGTGAACATGTTGCAAATGTTTAAAGCGACTGTGCGCGGTGGCTTTTGAAAACCACCCGCCCCCAATCCGTGAAGTTTTTGCTCATCTTTAACACGACTGTGCGCGGCGCGAATGTGAGCGCCACATTTTGAAAACCACCCGCCGTCAATCCGTGAAGCCCTTGCACATTTTTACAACGAATGTGCGCGGTGCTGAGGCGAGAACCTCATTTTGAAAACCCACCCACCTCCATCTTTGAAGCTGTTGGCAATCTTTAAGCTTCAGGGTCATATGTGATGGGGAAGTCTCAGGCGAAACGCCCGGCCCACCCTAAATGCTGGCCTTTGGGTGCGACGGTATTTTATAAGGGACAGGAATGGTTGAGGAGGAGGGGGAGGAGGAGGAGGAGGAGGAGGAGGAGGAGGAGGAGGAGGAGGAGGAGGAGGAGGAGTAGAAGGAGGCGAGGACAGCGAAGGAGGAGGAGGAGGACGAGGTGGTGGTGGTGGTAGAGGCGGAAGAGGAGGACGAGGACAGCGGAAGATAACAGAGGAGGATGAGGAGGAGGAGGAGGAGGATGACGAGTTTCAGGAGGAGGACAAAAAAGGAGAAGGACCAGTGTAAACCCAATACTCGTCAACGATGTAGCAACAAACCTTCCCTCCAAGTTCCCTCCTCACAGGTCCCTAAAAATAATCCGTTTTCAATGAGGGAAGATGTAATCCCTGATCCGGAATCGTGCCAGAAAGTAATTCCTGGGACGTCCATGCCGCGAATCAACGTTACTTGTGTGTCTGAGCGATCCTGAGTCGTGCTTGAATGCGATTTCCTGAGATTTCAACACAGCAAATCAAAGTAATTGTTTCGCGTGTGCAAGCTTGCATCGTGCGAACGCATTATTACTGTTGAACTTGTGTTGAATATTTGAACGTGTTGTAAGTTCAGATTAATATGCGCGGGGTTCAGGCGAGAACCACATTTTGGAAAGGTGCCGACTTCCATCCGTGAAACTCTTGCGATTATTTTTGCTTGTGCGCGGCGGTACGGCGAGAGCCACATTTTGAAAACCGTTCGCTCTTTATCCGTGAAGCTCCTGCAAAGTTTTGAAAACGAATGTGCGCGGCGCCCAGGCGAGAGCCACATTTTGGAAAAGGTGCTGGTCCTCAATCATGAAACTTTTGCGAACTTCTAGGACGATTGTGCGCGGCGTCACGGCGAGAGCCACACGTTGAAAATCGCCCACCCTCTATCCATAAAGCTTTTTTTTGAAACGAATGTGCGCGGCGGCACGGCGAGAGCCACATTTTGAGCACCGCCCGCCGAACCAGCCGTGGAGCTCCCGCAAAGTTTTGGAAACGAATGCGCGCGGCGCTACAGTCAAGACGCTGAAGTAAGGAACAGTTTGGGTTCGGAACGGGCTCGATGTTCCTTAGGTTCCTCCAGTGCTGTTCCGAGGCTTCGTTCCTTATTTAGCGTTCCTTCTTTCAGCGGCCCGACTGTAAGGCGAGAGGCACCTTTTGAAAAGGTACTGGCGTCCATCCGCGAAACTTTCGTGCTGATTTCTTACGCGTGTGTGCGCGACGCCAAGGCGAGAACCAGATTCTGAAGACCGCCCGTCCTCCATCCGTGGAGCTCTTGCATGTACTTCCAACGGGTATGCGCGGCGCTAAGGCGAGAGCCACGCTGCAAACTTTCTGCTTGAGGGTCATTAGTGGTGAGGAGATCTCGCCCCACCGACACGCCTCGGGGTGCGACACGGATGATATTCTGCTAGGAAAAGGGATGCATGATGAGGAGGAGGAGGATGAAGAGCAGGACGAGGGGAGGAGAAGGAAGCGGATGCCCTTGCAGGTCACTTTCTGTGCCACGGTGGCGCAGATCCACGCCCACGACGCCAGACGAGACAAGGCGGGTGCGAAGGCGGAGTGAGGCCTTTTTGTGTTCTGCCCCGCCACGGCACGTGCCCGGCTCGATCTAGCCAGGTCTGCGACCGTTGCTTTCGATCTGCAGTTCTTGCGGCTGTGCCGACTGTTGAAAACACTTTTTGGGAACTTGGGAGGGTTGGGGGTCAAGGAGGAGGAGGAGAAGGAGGAGGAGGAGGAAGAGGAGGAGGAGGAGGAGGAGAAGGAGGATGAGGAGAAATATGGGGAGGAGGAGGAACACGCGAACAAGAGGAGGGAGCAGGGCTAGAGGGGAGGAGGGGAGGGAGAAAGCGGGAGGATGGAGAGGTGGGTGGGTGGGTGGGTGAGCAACAAGTGGAGATGGAGGAGTGGGAAGACGAGGAGGACAAGGAAGACGAAGAGGCGGCGGAGGAGGAGGAGAAGGAGGACGAGGAAAAGGAAAAGCATACGAGTCACATTTTTTTGGGGGGAGAGAGGGGGCGTGCGCACACGAGGCTGCATTCACAGTGCGGACCAGACGTTTCTTCTGCGTCTCTGTGGCAGTACCCATTTTTTCAGGAGAGGACCCTGAGGAAGGGGAGGAGGAGGAGGATGAGGAGGAGAAGGAGGAGGAGGAGGAGGAGGAGGAGGAGGAGGAGGAGTAGATGACGATGACGATGACGATGACCATGACTATGACGATGACGATGATTGTGATTGTTGTGATGATGATGCTGATGATGATGATGCTGATGCTGATGCTGATGCTGATGATGATGATGATGATGATGATGATGATGATGATTATTGTTATTATTATTCCCCACATCCTGAGTGGGGTTCTTGTTTTCCCAGAACACCCTCTCCTTCCCACCCACCTCCCGCTCCATCTTCCATACAGCACAATATTATTCCTACCACACACACCATACCATACCATAGTTCCTACCACACATACCATACCATACCATACCATACCATACCACACCATACGTATACCGTACCATCATACCACGCATACCCATATCACACCATACCCACCATACCATACCATACCACCATACCAGTACCATACCATACCATACCATGGTTTCGTGCCCCTCCCACCCCTCCAGGGAGGCCCCGCCTGAGCGAGGAGGGTATCGGAATACCATACTATTTACATGGTTTCGTGCCCCTCCCACCCCTCCAGGGAGGCCCCGCCTGAGCGAGGAGGGTATCGGAATACCATACTATTTACATGGTTTCGTGCCCCTCCCACCCCTCCAGGGAGGCCCCGCCTGAGCGAGGAGGGTATCGGAATACCATACTATTTACATGGTTTCGTGCCCCTCCCACCCCTCCAGGGAGGCCCCGCCTGAGCGAGGAGGGTATCGGAATACCATACTATTTACATGGTTTCGTGCCCCTCCCACCCCTCCAGGGAGGCCCCGCCTGAGCGAGGAGGGTATCGGAATACCATACTATTTACATGGTTTCGTGCCCCTCCCACCCTCCAGGGAGGCCCCGCCTGAGCGAGGAGGGTATCGGAAAACCATACTATTTACATGGTTTCGTGCCCCTCCCACCCCTCCAGGGAGGCCCCGCCTGAGCGAGGAGGGTATCGGAATACCATACTATTTACCTGGTTTCGTGCCCCTCCCACCCCTCCAGGGAGGCCCCGCCTGAGCGAGGAGGGTATCGGAAAACCATACTATTTAACCATTATTTACCTGGTTTCCAGGGAGGCCCCGCCTGAGCGAGGAGGGTATCCACCATACTATTTACTGGTTTCGTGCCCCTCCCACCCCTCCAGGGAGGCCCCGCCTGAGCGAGGAGGGCATCCGAAAACCATACTATTTACATGGTTTCGTGCCCCTCCCACCTCTCCAGGGAGGCCCCGCCTGAGCGTGGGGCCCCGCCAAAGCGAGGAGGGCATCAAGAAAATGGGTCCCACGGAACCGTTAATCTCTTTCTGTGGGGATCTCCATTAGCATTATTATTATTATTGTTATTATTACTACTATTATTATTATTATTACTATTATTATTACTATTATTATCCTAATGATGATGACGATGATGACGATGATGTTGATGATGGTGACGATGGCGATGCTGCTGATGATGATAATGATGATGATGACGATGCAGATTATGATGATGACGATTATGATGATGCTGCTGCTGCTGCTGATGATGATGATGCTGATGATGATGATGATGATGATGATGATGATGATGATGATGATGATGATGATGATGATGATGATGATGATGATGATGATGATGATGATATGATGATGATGAGGAGGATGAGGATGAGGAGGATGAGGGGGACCAGGGGGGAGCAGGAGGAGGAGGACGACGAGGAGGAGGATGAGATTGAGGAGGAGGGAGGATGAGGATGAGGAGGAGGATGAGGAAGAGGAGGACGAGGACGAGGACGAGGACGAGGATGATAATGAGGATGATAATGAGGATGGTGAGGAGGAGGAGGAGGAAATGGAGGAGAAGGAAGAGGGGGATGATGATGATGATGATGATGATGATGATGATGATGATGATGATGAGGAGGAGGAGGAGGAGGAGGAGGAGGAGGAGGAGGAGGAGGAGGAGGAGGAGGATAGGGGGCAGGAAGGAGGGAGGGAGGGCGCTCCTTCTTCTCCTCCCATCTCCTCGTCCTGCTCTTCCGCCTGCTCCTCCTGCTCCTCCTGCTCCTCCGTGGCAGCGGGTGGATGCCTCGGCGGCGAGGCTGGCGCAGGCAGAGCCGCAGGCGATGGCCCCGAGACATGCCCGCGAGGCGTCCCCCCCCGGTCCGCGAGACAGCGTGCGCCGAAGCTCGTGTCCGTCCCCGTGCACCATCGTCTTCCAGGCTGCGCGGCACGCCTCGCCCGTATCCCCGTGCGCACGTTTGCGCGACGGTTCGAGGCAGAGCGCTGAATCTCTGTGCATCGCGGCGTGTCGCGCAGTTCCCGCTTCCCGACGCGCGGTGTGTGGTCCCAATTCGACCCTCGCTCATGTCTGCACGTTATTCGGTAATGGCGCTGCGTTCTTTCTTCCACATGCTGCTCCATGCCACAGGGCTTGCAGAAGGCGGCCCAAGAGCAGTGGCTTTGGGAGGGCATATGTTATTCTCTGACGGCACGCCCGACACCTCATGCCGCGGGGCGCCCTGGGCATTCCCCGCAGTAAGTGCTTCGCGCTGGCCTTGCGCTCTGAGGAACAGGACATGGTTTTCGTATCTTGCCTCCTCCTCCTCTTCCTCTCCCTTCCCTCCTCTCCTGTCCCCCTTGTCGCTGATACGTTTCACGCGTGAACTCGTATCGCTCAAGGCTCCTGGCCTGTGCCCCGCGCTTACCACACAGACGAGAGCATCGGCAGGTTCATCGTCGCGAAAATAATGGTCATCGTATTTTGCCCATCGGTCGCCGCAGGTCGTCGGTGCGTCGGGCCTCGGGAACCTTGCGCACTTCGCGCCCCCGAGTGGGCCTTGGGAGTCGCGCTTGCTTGCCCGGTGGCCGCCAGTCGCTGCCGAGTTGGGCCCTCTTGGGCCCTGTGCACTCCCGCATACCCCATGGGGCCGAGGGCACTCCTGCGAACTTCGTACCCCACCGTGCCCCAATCGACTACTGATAACACTGCTTGGGGTCCATGCGCTGCCATCACCTGGAACTCACTGCTGCTGTTCAGGAAGTTTCTGATGAGCGTGTGGTGAATGCCAAATCCAGTGTCATCCTCGCATTGAGGTATCCTTTCCAGGTGTTAGCACCTTTTGCTGCTTCCCTCCCCCTCTCCTCACCCATCGCTTCGCCGTACCAGCATGACTCTTCGCCGTGTGGCCGAACAGTAGGCTCGCTTTTCCGGCGCCCTATCCCCCGATGCCCGAATGTACCTGCACCGGCTGTAGATCTGTGGGGTTCGCCGCTGCCTCGAAAAGCGCCGCGTGCCTAATCCAATGTGGCAGCTCGCCACATTGTGCGCGCGCGGAGACAAGTGAGCGAGGAGGCAGTGACATGAGCAGCAGGAGACTCGTCGCCCTCAGCTATCCTCCATCTCCCATGGCGCAGTCGGCTCATTGAAAAAGACGCAAGCCTGCCAAAAGGTGCCCCATGGAGGGTTCTTCTTTCCCAGCGGCCCCAGGGAGCCATTCGAGGCCCGTTCACCTTGCGAAGTTTGAAGTCGACGACGGGTGTGGCCCCTAGATTTCTGATGCCAGGGCTTATTTTCAAAGGCAGGCGTCGAGGAGTTCCTGTGGGGTCGACCGCAGCATAGTATTGTTCTGAGGCTTCCGGGTTGGGGATTCCTGAGTCGACGACAGGGTCGATTTCGGAGGCCGTGCGGCAGGCCGTGGATCTTCCCTTCCCTCCAGTTCGGGAGGCGCGGGCGCGGCTCGCCGCGCTGCCTCCTCGTTCCGGGAGCTCTGGGTCGACTCGATGTGGCTGGCCTGGGCGAGAGCAGGGCACACTCCGTGTGGCCGCACGTCGTAAAGGTGCTCGGCCCACGCATGGCTGGGTATGGCAGCCTTCCGCATGCGCGCGCTGGCCCTCGTTTTGGATCGAGCCTCAGGCGAAACGAGAAAGAGGCTGCGCGTGTCGCCCCCGAGGGGCTCTCTCCGGGCCAAACTGCCTACAGTGCAACATCGAACGAGCCTCGTCGACGATGGGGCCGGCAGAGAGATGCAGAGCAGAGTGGGGGTTTGAAGAACCCCCGTGGGTCTGGAGCCCCGCAGGGGTTGGAACCTCGCGCGCTTCTCGTCTTCGCCGCCCACTACGACGCTAGCGTCGAGCGAGCCTTTGTTCCTGCGCGCGCGCGTAGCCAGAGATCAGTCTCCGCATGCTCGGTGTACGTTTCAGCCGTGTGCCCATACAACCAGCGGCTCGTTATGGCTTTTCATCGCGAATCAATGTTAACGGTCCCAGAGGCCGAAACCAGCCTCCAGAGGGCCCAGATTTGCAGTGCAAGGCGTCTCGATTTTGCTCGACCTGCCAGTTGGATGTCTGGGTCTGTGAATCCAGCCAGGGGCGTTTCCAGCTTCTCGATATGGCATCGCTCTTGTCGGACGGACGCAAGAAGCGGATTGGAAAAAGTGGGGCTCGAACTCCGTTGCATGCAGCTGGTTCTGGCACCGCCGCTGGACATTTTCCTCGAAGGAAGGATCGCCTGCGGCGCTGGGCGGCGCAGGGATAACCAGCTACATGTACGGCTTCGCTAGCTTCCTGCTCTACGGTCGGGAGAAAGCTCTGCGACAAGTGTTCGGCAGCCAGTGTGCATGACCCCCCCCAGCCTGAATGCTGAGCAGCTGCCTCCCAAGCGCAGGGCCGCGCAGCACCCGACTGCACGTAGGAGCGACCCTTCGCCAGAGTGGCCTTGGGTGAGGACCCCCCTTTGGGGTCTCCCGATCGCCGCATGCGATTCGATAGCAGCAGCCCGCGCGCTCGGGTTTTGCCCCTCCCCCCCCCCTCCACCCCCCGCCCGCACCCCCCTCCCCCCCACCTGAAGCCGCACACCAAAGACAACTCGTTTACCGAGGGTCACTCCTGCGTGTAGCTGATGGGGCGTCTTTCATGTATTGCCACCCAGACCTCCGACGTCGTGTGCGGCCGTGTGAGCGTGCATGGTTTTTGCTTCCCCCTCCCCCTCCTCCTCCTCCCCCTCCCCCTTCCCCCTCCTCCTCCCCTCCTCCTCCTCCTCCTCCTCCTCCTCCTCCTCCTTATCTCCTCCTCTTCCTCCTCCTCCTCCTCCCCCTCCTCCTCCTCCTCCTCCTCCTCCTCCTCCTCCTCCTCCTCAAGCCGCGCACCAAAGGCACACCCTTGCCCCATAGCTGCACTTCCGTGCAGCCGAAGTACTTGGAACATCCATCTCGCGTGCGGCACCTTCCAGTACGGAGGTCGGCTTGTGCGGAGAAGGGTGCTCGATTCTTCATGGCTCGGGCGCCCTTTCGGCCGTAACGGGTGCAGAGACGGTTCTTTCGGCCGCATCCGCCC